GATGTTTCTTGGGGGGGGGGGATATAGGGGATGCGGGAAGAGACTGGAAAAAAATCGTGCACCTATGGATGAGGACAGTGGGTGGGGAGTGAGGGTATAGGGTGGAGTGGGAACTGGGTGGAGGGGAGTTATGGGGGGAAAAAAGAGGAACAAATGTAATAATCTGAACAATAAAGATTAAAAAAATGGACAAATGACTGCCCTAGCTGGTTTGCTCAGAGGATAGAGCATCGGCCTGTGGACTGTAGGGGTTTGGGTTTGTTTCAGATCAAGGGCATGTACCTTAGTTGCAGGCTCTAACCTTGTCCCCTGGTCAGGGCCCATATGAGAGGCAACCAATTGATGTGACCCTTTTGTATTGTTGTTTCTTTCTGTCTCTCCCCCTCCCTTCCACTCTCTCTAAAAATCAGTGGAAACATACCCTAGGGGGAGGATTAACAAAAAACAAAAATGGGCATAGAATTTAAGTAGACGCTTCTTTAAAGTGAACATACAAATGGCCAAGAAACATATGAAAAAATGCTCAAAGTCACTGGTCATCAGAGAGAGGCAAATTAAAATGACAATGAGATACCACCTAACACCTGTCAGAATGGCTATCATCAACAAATCAACAAATGACAAATGATGGCCAGGATGTCGAGAAAAGGGAAATATAATACACTGCTGGTGGAAATGCACATTGTTGCAGCCACTATAAAAAACAGTATGGAGTTGCCTCGAAAAATTAAATATGGAACTCCCATTTGACCCAGTCATCCCATTTCTAGGAATACATCCTGAGAAATCTGAAACTCCAATAAGAAAGGATGTATACACCCCTACTTTCATAGCAACACAATTTATAATAGCTAAGATCTGGAAACAACCCCAAGTGTCCATCAGTAAATGTGTGGATAAAAAAGTGGTAGTACATTTACACAATGGAATACTACACAGCTATGAAAAAGAAAAGAACTTACCATTTGCAACAGCATGTAGGGTCCTGGAGAGTATTATGCTAAATTAAATAAGGCAGTCAGAGAAAGACAAGTATCACATGATTTCACTCATATGTGGAATCTAATGAGCAAAATAAACTGATGAACAAAGTAGATCCAGAGACATAGAAGCATGAAACAGACTGATGAATCTCAGAGTGGGTGGGTGGAAAAAGATTAACCAAAGAACTAATATTCATATATGTAAAACCCTTGGACACAGACAGTAGTTTGGTGAAGGCCTGGGTGGGGGGGGGAGGATGGGTACAGGTTCAAAGAGGGTGAAGAGGGGGAAATGGGTCATTTGTGATACTTTTGTCAATAAAGATACATTTTTAAAAGGAAGAAAAGAGGAAAAAATACTAAGTGATAACAAATTTATCTCTGAGTTGTATACTCCCATGTTGATTCCTTATCAGAAAGGTAACTGTTGATTAAGAAGCAATCTCAGAGGTTTTTATTCAGTAAGGAATCTCAAGAGTACAAAAATGTATCCCTTATATACTGACAAGATTGCATGTAATCCAATCCCAGAAATTTCCAGGGGAAGAGATTAGAGTCTTTGCATCTCACAATTCTCCCTTAAAAAATCTTTATATGTTTCACTAAAGATTATGTGGTTTTACTGAAACCACAAAATTTAAACTAAAAGAATTTACTAATGAGGTTCAAACCAGCATGTATATTATGTGTTCATTTTCATGAAATTCGCTTCCCCCGTGCCACACACACAGAAATTCTAAGATAGTAATCTTCAGTTGCTCCCTTAGCCAATTTTATTTAAGCCTATTGCTTTATTGTGTGAGTTATGCATGTTCCATGGAATACTGAACATTTGTTTGTTTTCTAGCAACTTAAACTAAAGATTTTATAGAATTAAGGTGCTAATATTGAACATGGTCCTATGGGAACTTTAATTCTAAATAACTGTAAAAAAAATTAGTCTAACCATAGGAATAACTTGGAGTGTGGTCCTGGTCCCCAAAGTCATAGTATGATTTTGAATTCAGAGTTATACAGCCAACTAAATAGCAGTTTCCAGATCTCTTGTTATCTAGGAATAGCATACAGATTGCATTTTCTTTGTTAATTCTAAC